CATTTATTATTATTTTAAAATAATTACTCTAATATATATAATTTAAATAAATGGGTGGATTTTTAAATAAATGAATGGGTCGGTGTAGAGTATTATTCTCGAGGGTTAAGAAACCGAACAATCCTGGAGCACCACACATGTGCGGCCGCTCCCGTCTTCTCAAGCAGCATCACACGCGAGCGACAGCCATCGGGTGGAGGGAGCCACCGAGCCACCGTACAGAGGGATCCACCAGGCCAATCGCCGAGACACCTGACCCACCAGCGCCCCCACAAACCGGACACACAGCCCCAACACCCCAGGAGAGTGGGGCAGGACTCGCATCATCCATCTTGTCCACCCCCCGAAACTCGTGAAGAGATGACCGAATCTGCTTTGCGACCGTGGTCACCGAAACCAGAACCGCGCCACCTCCGTCAGGCTCCCATGCAACCGGACCCAAAGGGAATAATCCAGAGCCGTCCACTGGTTCCTGTCTCATAAAAACGAAGCAACGTTAGGGGATCGATAAAATAACCCAAAAGCTCCTTGACGAACACACTCTTCCACATGAAAAGACACTCCGGTTCAGAAATGCCTTGTTTATTATTATTATTATTATTATTATTTGTTTTTAAAAAAAAGTAAAAATTCGATTCCCTTCGTTTAATTCTTGTATTTCCTTTTTCCTTAAGGCACAAAAAAGGAAAATGAAAAACAAATTTGCACTTTATCCTTCTTTCATGTGTAATTTGTCACATGGCCTGCTACTTTAGATATCTTTTATTATTATTATTTTTTTCTTCTTTCAATCCGAGTGGTCTCCATATTAATTAATAAAATTAAGCTTAAAATATCATTTTAAGTTCTATTTTAGTAAGGATACTTTTCTCCGTATATTTTTAGTTTTTTTTTTTATATATAGTTTATATAAACTTCCCTTTATAAATTTTTAAAATATATTGAATGAAAATTAATATTATTATTTTAGAAAATTCAATACAAATTAAGTTTAAATGGTTAAATATAAGATGTGAATTAAATTTGAAATATTAACTAAATTTAAACAATTGAATGCCCAAAACTAAATTGGCAGAGAATTCAAAGTAAGGGAATTAATATTTGAATTATTTTTTTAAAATAAAGTTTTAATTAGTTAAACTACACTATTCCACCTATAATTTATAATATTATTATATTAGTTTATTTTTATTTAGTCCGTAAATTTTAAAATATTTTTATTTAATTTTTAAAATTTTAAATTTATGTGAAAAATGTCTAAATTTTTTTAGATTTTTAATCTAATTGTAATTTAAATTATATATTTGATAGAAGGTTCATCTTTTTTTTTTTTAATTTTTTATTAATTTATTAAACACCAATTAAAATTTAAAATTTTATTAAATTTATAATTTTAAGATTCTATTTTAGAATAAAATGATGGGCGGGGGAATTTCGAGAAACTAATCATCAAAAACTTTAAACTTGGAATTCATGTCACCTAGTAACTTGATATTTGGGCAAAGGTTGTTGATCATGATTTATGTAATCATTGGGACACATCAAGGGAAGTCCAATTTTTTTGATTCATATAGAAGGGAATTTCATTTTAATTTGATTTCAATTCTTTTAAGAAAAAAAAAAACCCAAGAAATATTAGCCTTTATATTAGATATTTTATTTATTTGTTTTGGCTATTCTTAACGAAATGAAAGACAAATCTCACACCAACTCGCTCGTTAAGCGCGTGTAAAACAAACAATAACTTTATCGAGCTCTTGTTTCTTAGTTGAAAACACGCGCTGTAAACGAGATTGGGATGATATTCCTCACTATGTACCATTAGTTCCCTTTATATATCCCGCTCGGATCAAGTTCAATCTCCTCAAAACAGGAAAAAAATTAAAAAAAGAAATCAGTTCTCTTTCTAATTCAGAGGGAGGAAGAACAAGGCGGCATTATTACGCATTTCCTCTGATTTTCTGTTTCTTTGTTAGCCATGGAAATTGAGCCGATTCGGCCGGCAGTGAAGAAGAAGCTATGGAACGTGTTGAGAGCGGTTGTGTTCATGTTGAGGAAAGGGCTAAGCAAAAGCAAGATTGTGTTCGATCTTCATTTAATGCTCAAACGAAGCAAAATCGCAGGAAAAGCGATGGCAAATCTCGTGGAATTTCATCACGGATCTGCTTTCAGTTGCCAAACGATTGACATCGCCAATTCCTACATCTCAACGCGCGATTACGAATTCAGTTGCAGTAACAGTCCTGCGTATCCGTTCCGTTACTTCAACAAACATCGAAAACACCAAAACCGCCATTATTTCCCCAAATCTTACCGCTACGACGATTTCTCCACCGTTACGGCCGTCCAGAGAGTTCTTGATATTCTTCATAGCGATCAGAAATCTGAGGCGTCGCCGTTAGTGCCGTTACCTGGATTTGGAAAGAGTCCGCTAGTTGTACGGCAGTTGCGAGTTACAGATTCACCGTTTTCTCTCAAGGACGACAGTGACAGTCAGATCGTCGATAAAGCGGCCGAGGAATTCATCAAGAAGTTCTACACAGATCTACGGCTGGAGAAAAGCTTAGCAGCTTATGAATCGCCGTTTCGGAACACACTGTGCCGATGAAATCGAACTCTTACAGCTTTTCCGATCGGCGTTTGGCGATGAATCTGCGTGTTGTTTACAGTTACACATCGCCATAAATGAACGTCGAATTGACGTGTTTAATGGCCTCGAGAGACGTGATTGATTCTCAGCCATGTCAGTTTCAAAGCTCAAGCAGTTTATATCTATAAGTTTGGATAATTACTTCCTTTTTCTTCTTTTTTTACTTTTTTTTTTTATCTCTCTCAAGTAATTTCAATAAATTTTAGTTGTGAATCTGATTTAAGTTTTAGAGTTTATGTTTTAATTATAAGTGACATTTCTTTTTTTCATTTTTAGTATATATTATTTCAGGAAAGGCTATGAATCTGACACTAAGCTATCGGTTATATAATTTGTTTGTGAATTTTAAATTATTTTAAATTATTATTATTAAATGGTTAATTAATCTTAATAATTTTTTAACTATAAGAGTAATAGATGTGAGCAATATATATATATATATATATATATATATTTTTTTTTTTAATATTATAAAATTTTAAATTTTAAATAAAAGGTTCAAAGTTTTAAAAATTGACATGTAATATTAATGAAAATCGACAGAAATTTTGATTCCTTTTGTTTCATCCACTAGTTTTGGATTAAATAGAATAAATGGCTGAAGTGATATTATGTGAATCATTTGCTTACATTTAATTTGAATATATACCATTTATTGCTTAAATAATTTGTGAAAGAAAAATAAAATATAGTAATTTTCAATTACTTATTAGAGAATTTTTCATATTTTATATAATTAATATTTGGTACGACATTTTATGAATATTTTAACATTCGTCATATGTTATCATTTATCTTAGTCTGATCTAAATCTAGGACTTATCTTTTTGGCAATGGATCGATGCTCGTATAGCATCATACTTTAAAGATTTCTCTATATACACTTAAAAGCTATCCCTTTCTCTTTCTCGGGTACCCCATAGGTTAAGATTTCTCTCTCTAAGTTGCTTTTTTCATGGTTGTTGAAAGGTTGCCTTTGAGATTTATTATAGGTCTCTTGGTATAGCGATGTGTGTTCAATTTGGTATACTATTTGCGGTTCTCGTTTCATACCTTTACGTGGTTACAAGGTTATATGTCTCCATACCTATTAAGAATTAAAGAAGTAATATTGAATTGATTTGACTTTATCGAGTGAGTCATAGATGCAAAATAATATAGTACTAGCTTGTTTCGTCCTCCCACTTGGCACAACTACTTATGGTCATTAACTCGGAGTGCTCGAGTTGAAATGCTTTTACTAACTAGAACAAAAAAAAATTATTTAAGTATAAAACACGACAAAGTTTGGTCTAGACACGTGTATCTTTTTTGTCACGACTATGATCTTACTTTATAGAATAATCAGCGTGCAAATATTTTTTTACGAGTCAGGTGCGTTATCATTAACTCTTTTACAAAGTTGCTTTTTGTTTATTATGGTTCATAATTAACCAAATCAAACTTTTGTCATTCAACATCTATTTTATTATTAAATATTTGAATTTATTAAAAGTAAATTATGGAGAGACCCTTAATGTCTTGGCTCATTGCATGCAAGTGTTAGTTAATTTTTCTAATTTAAATGCTAAAAGTTTAATTTTGTGCACTTTTAATTATTACTCATTAAAGGTAAGATTAGACATAATAATTATGAGTAAACAATAAGCAACAATGTAAAGGTAATTAAGGTTTTTTTGACTTCTCACTCAACATGAGTGTAATTTAAGTTTTGTCTAAATTTTGGCAAAAGAGAGGCAATATTTTTCTCCTTCTTAATTCCTTAAAATTGACTTAAATTTTTGTAATATTTTAGTTGATTGATATTTAAATTTTTAAAAATATAAACTCGTAAAAATTAATATATAGGTATATATACGAATATGAACATAATATAATGTTTTAAATATATTCAATTCGAAGGCATAAAATTTTCTAGAAAGACTTGAGATAAAACCAGCTTTGTTTGCGACTGATTTTGGTAAAATAGCGTGAAAGTGAAATTGGAGAAGTGGGCTGGTAATCGAGCCCATTTGCTCCAATCAGATTGAAGTCATTGGGCCGATCATTGATGGGCTGATAGTCGAGCCCATTTACTCCATTTAGCTAAAGAGGCTATTGGGCCGATGTTTGCTGGGCTGGTAGTTCAGCCCATTGGTTTAGCTATCTTTATATTGTTATATTGTTTTCTATAACTAAAACCAATTGGGGATGTAGCTCAGATGGTAGAGCGCTCGCTTAGCATGCGAGAGGTACGGGGATCGATACCCCGCATCTCCATTAAATTCCCCTTTTATATTAATTTAACCTTTATTTTAGCAATTTTCTTAAAACTCCAAAAAAAAAAAAAAAAAAAAAGACACTTGGTTGGCGACGTGGAACCTCTACACTGGTTGAACATAATCGGCGCCGTAGTCGTCACAGCACCCGATCATTGTTGCCGCGTTTTCCTTCAACTTCACTCGTCCATCAGAACAGACTCCTTAACTAACGACTGCCTTCCTCTGAAATTCTCATTTCCCTACAATCGTCCGTCGCACTCGGTGGCCGATTTACCGCCATTGTAGTGTTTCCGTAGAGCTCGAAGTGTCCTTTGGCGAAGCAAGATCCCCATTCGAGCTATCGCAACGTCGCCGTTTAGAATTACACTCTTCGATTCATCAAATCCTCGGCTACATCTTGGTGGGCTCCGCATTGTTTCCGATCCGAGTTTCGGCTTTCTAATGGCTTCTTGGCTCAAAGCTGCCGAAGGTTCGATGTTATTCGGTTTCTATTGCATATATGTTTCGTTCTGATCCGAATCGATTTTTCATCAATTTTCAACTCATATCGAAGTATAGCTTTTAATTTTCTACACGGATTTTGAAATTCATCGGATTCGATTTTGACGCGTTCCTGTGTAAGAATTTATTGCATAGAAATTTCTCAGAAGTGATTCACTTTTGTCAGGACTGTTTGAAGTCGTAGATCGCAGGGCAAAGCTTGTTGTTAGTGAGTTATCAGAAGAGCAGTCTGATATTCAAACTCCAGGTATGCATCTTGGTTTATGTCATATTTATATGATTTATGCTCATTTCTTTCCATGTTTTTATTTCATTGCTTACTAAAGCTAAAATACTTGGTTAAATTGAATTTTGCTGGAATCAATATGATTAATTGTTTCACTAAAACAATCTATTGAACTATTTTATGTTTAAAAATTTCGAGTTGTCTGACATCTATAGCTTTATTTCTGTTGTGTGAAGCTTCTAATGGCCAAGGATCTCAAACCAAGAAGACCAAGCCAAAGAAAAAGGTGGGTTAGGCTCACTTATTTTAACAAATAGTAATATTATACATTATTATCACATGTTAAGCTTTATTTAAATTTTTGTGAATTTAAATATTTTTTTGCACAGAAGAAACTATCCTCAAATGAGCCTTCTATATCGAAGGACGCTGCAGAAGAACAAACGAGCACATTATTGTCAACTGTAGATGTGGTGGTGGCACCTGAAAAGGATGGAATTGTTTCTTCCATTGAAGATGACCGGACGGTGACTGCATCTGATAAGTCTACGACTCATGTAAACAAAAGGAAGCCAGACGGTGACGACAATAACGTCCCTATTTTAGACATTCCACCAACAGATGCCGTAGTAGTTGAAGCAGGAAAACAAATTCCTGATGACATGGAAGCAGCCGTTGCTGATGTTGAGGTTATCGCACCCACTTCTAATACGGAACTAAATAATGTGAATGCCTTGGATCTTCATGAGGAACAATTATTGTCTACACCTAATCAAGAAGCCGTGGAGATCAACAAAGAAAATCGAGATGATGCGCAGAGCAATAAATTGGGAAGTGAAGAAACTATCTCGAAGACAGATCGGGACATGTCTGAGTCTGCAACTATGGGGTTCCAGGATAACGATGAAAATCAAACAAAAAATGATTCTAATAAGGTTCAACTGCCAGTCGAACAGAAGCAACAAGAGAATACAGCTGATAAGTCTCCTACGAAAGTGCAGGACCAACTTGAAGAGGTATAATAGTGGTTCTGTAAGTAGTTTCATGTTATTTGTTTTCTTCAGCTTTGATGATTCCTATTTCGACTTCTAGTTTTGTTAAAAGTTCATTTAGTTGGCGTGCAGGCACAAGGGTTACTTAAAACTTCAAATTCCACTGGCGAGTCGAAAGAAGCAAGGCTAGCTCGGGTATGTTCTTGGGCCATGCCCCATTTGTGAACTTTTTTAATCTGTATATGATGAGAATATTACAGATGTAGAATTGAAGAATACGATTTTATCTCAGAACGATCATCTTAGAATAGTTCCATTCAATATTTAGACACCGCGCTATTCAGTGATTATTGACCATTTTCTTTTCGAGGCATAGGTCTGTGCTGGACTTTCATCACGTCTTCAAGAATACAAGTCTGAAAATGCACAGTTGGAGGAACTTCTTATTGCAGAGGTGAGAATTCTCACATCTGGTCTTAGTACACTCTATCTTTATTATTTTTCCTTCTTTTCACATGTTAAGATCGTTGTCTGACAGAGAGAATTGAGTAGATCATATGACGCTCGCATGAAGAAGTTAGCACAAGATTTATCGGAATCCAAAAGTGAAGTTTCGAGAGTAGAGTCAGGTATGGCTGAAGCTTTGGCAGCAAAGAACTCTGAAATTGAGGCTCTTATTAGTTCCATGGATGCACTTAAAAAGCAAGCTGCCTTATCAGAAGGAAGCCTGATCTCGATGCAGGTTTGTCATACCCACTGTGTATTTATTGTAATGTATTATGAGATATGACTATAAAAAATACCCACTGTGTATTTTCTGATATTCTTTATGTTAGACACTTCCTTCAAACTGCAATTGTAACAGTCTAAGCCCACCGCTAGCAGATATTGTCCCTCTCGGGCTTCCTCTTAAGGTTCTTAAAACACGTCTGCTAGGGGGAGGTTTCCACATTGCTTGATAGTGAACCCTAAACATTTTGTGAAAGGGATTGATGGGTGTTCTATTTATGATTCTGGTAATGTGGACTCGGTGGCCTCTTTTTCTTTGAATGAGATCAGGAGTGTGGTCTTTGAATGTGATAGGAACAAATCACCTCGTTCGGAGGGCTTTTCCATAATTGAGATATTGTCGAGGTCCTAATTGGGATATTGTTAAGGAGGACCTTGATGGGGTTTTAAGGAGTTTTTTTTTTTGGATGGAGAATAGTGGACAACACTTGGAATGAAATGTTTGTTTGTATCATCCCTAAAAAGGGTAAGGTTGAGATGGTGAAGGATTTCAATCCCATCAGCCTCGTTACTAGTGTGTATGAGATTTTGGAAAAAGTGCTTACCATTAGTATGGGTAAAGTTCTCCCTTCTACTATCTCGAAGGCTCAAGGAGTGTTCCTTGTGGGTAGATAGATCCTCGATTAGGACCTTATTGCCAATGTAGGCATAGAGAGTACAGAGACCAGAATCAAGAAGGGTGACCAGAATCAAGAAGGGATTATCTTTAAGATTGACTTAGCAAAAGCATAGACCATGTGGATTAGAATTTCCTTTACAAAGTTCTCGAAAAGAAAAGAAAGGTTTTACAAAGTTCCTGTGATATCCCACATTGGTTAGGGAGGAGAACGAAACACTCTTTATAAGGGTGTGGAAACCTTCCCCTAGCAGGGGCGTTTTAAAGCCTTGAGGGGAAGCCCGAAAGGGAAAGCCCAAAGAGGACAATATTTGCTAGCGGTGGGCCTGGGTCGTTACAAATGGTATCAGAGCTAGGCACCGGGCGATGTGCCAACGAGGAGGCTGTTCCCCGAAGGGGGTAGACACGAGGCGGTGTGCCAGTAAGGACGCTGGGCCCCGAAGGGGGATGAATTGTGATATCCCACATTGGGAACGAGTGCCAGCGAAGACGCTGGGCCCTGAAGGGGGATGAATTGTGATATCCCACATTGGTTGGGGAGGAGAACGAAACACCCTTTTAAGGGTGTGGTAACCTTCCCCTATCAGACGCGTTTTAAAGCCTTGAGGGGAAGCCCGAAAGGGAAAGCCCAAAGAGGACAATATTTGCTAGCGGTGGGCCTGGGTTGTTACAAATGGTATCAGAGCTAGGCACCGGGCGATGTGCCAACGAGGAGGTGTTTCCCGAAGGGGGTAGACACGAGGCGGTGTGCCAGTAAGGACATTGGGCCTCGAAGGGGGATGAATTGTGATATCCCACATTGGGAACGAGTGCCAGCGAAGATGCTGGGCCCTGAAGAGGGATGAATTGTGATATCCCACATTGGTTGGGGAGGAGAACGAAACACCGGTGTGGAAACCTTCCCCTAACAGATGCGTTTTAAAGCCTTGAGGGGAAGCCCGAAAGGGAAAGCCCAAAGAGGNTATTTTATTTGAATTGGTAGACGAATTTAATATTTTTTTAGTTTTCGTTTAAAACAATTATTTAAATAATAGATTTTGAAGTTTTGATAAGAATAAATAAATAAATTAGATAGTGTAAAATTAATTTGAAAATTAAACTAAAGTTATTATCATCACCACCGTCGATTTCCAACGTCTTAAAATTAATTTTGTGCTTGGCCGTTGATGTAGCTTCTTTGTTTAAAGATTGGCGGGAGATTCCCCTGCGGTGCCCTAATTTCAGTGATCGCTGTATTTAAATGCCGATGCCAAAGTTCTAGCGGCATTGTTCGACATCGGGAGCGGAAGTTCTTATGCCCAAATAGCAGAAATAAGCTACGTTGTATACCTAAATTTGGTCAGTGATTTGTTTTGGTGATGTATTTTGTATGCACAGTCGTTAATCTTTATATTCTGCATGAAGATTTAGATTTTCAAGCTTTCTGATCCGGCCATTTCCGTTTCCTTTCTTGACTTTCTTGAAAAGGAGTCTACCATATGCATTTGTTGCAGTTCTTTTTTTTTTTTTTTTTTTTCCTCTTTAGAGCTCTGTGTTTGGTTTGTAAAAGACTGGAAAAACCTATGGAGGACTTTCTGTGGGAAGGGGTGGAGGAAGTTCATGGGGTGCATAGTTTATTGGGTGACTATTGGGAAGCCAGTGCATCTAAAAGGGTTGGGGTCAGGGAATTTAAGGGTCCTTGGATAGGCTCTCATGGAAGTTGCCTTCCTTGGCCAGGCTGTTCTGCTGTATATTTTGTCAGAGGACGGAGGAAACCTGAATCATTGGTTTTGAAATTTTTATTTTACTCCGCATATTTGAATCTATTTTACCGGTGCGTTAGGGCATAGCCCATCATCGAGCTTTTAGTGAGATAATCGAGGAGTTCCTTCTCCATTTGCCATTCTAGGGAACTAGTTTTTTTTTTTAAATGGAAACTCGAGTGTGATCTTTGCTGTTGGGGTATTTCGGGGAAGAGAAATAGTAGAATTTTAGAGGGTCGGAGAGGGAGGCCAATGATGTTTGGTCCCTTGCGAGATTTAATGTCTCGTTTTTTTCTTAATTACTCATTAGGTCTTCTTTTGCTTGATTGGAGCCATTTCTTTAGGGTGCTCCCTTTTTTTGGGTTATAATTTTTGTATCTTTCTTTTTTCTCATTGAAGTTGGTCTTGTTTATATGAAATAATCTAATTTATGTTATTTTTATGCCCTTATAATTTTCTCATGCAATGGAAAATCGAACTTGCCTTATATTGATTAATGATAATTATAATCTTTGACTACTGACGTTGTTGTCCTTTTCTTCTATTACATGATTTTTACAGGCTAATATGGAGTCAATGATGAGGAATAGAGAACTAACCGAGACTAGGATGATGCAAGTGAGTTAGATCTTTATTTATTTATTAATAACAACTTCTATATTTTTTTTATAAAATTCCATTCTTGTACAGGCTCTAAGAGAGGAGCTAGCTTCTGCCGAGCGCAGAGCAGAAGAAGAACGTACTGCCCATAATGCTACGAAGATGGTATATATGCATTAGCCTATTGTGATCCTTTTTTCGTGTTTGTGCGGTGTGTCTGTTTTGTCCAATTGTCTTCAAATAGATGATCATCGGTGTCTACAGGCTTTCATGGAAAGAGAAATGGAATTGGAACATAGAGCCGTGGAAGCAGCATCAGCTCTTGCTAGGATCCAGGTAAAGCATGAAGCCGTCAAGTTGGATTTATGGCTCGTAGTCACGTGTATAATGATTAGATCTCTCTATAACCCGAACCGGGACTTTGTCCTTTAGTCAACCTTGTTAGAGCTTCAATGTTTCCAAGATGACTGCACGGACTTGAACCGGGACTTTGTCCTTAGTCAACCTTAATTTGTATGTTTCACTGCATGCGATTATCTTTTTCCATTTTTTTTTCAGAGAATAGCAGATGAGCGGACATCGAAAGCAACAGAGCTTGAGCAAAAGGTAGCGCTTCTTGAGGTAAGATACATATCATTGTTAATATAATTTTCAAGTATGCATTTGCACTTCTTAGTTGAACAGATACATATCATTGTTAATATAATTTTCAAGTATGCATTTGCACTTCTTAGTTGAACAGATATTTCTTCATATAATTAATAAGTCTCTTCTTTTAGGTCGAATGTTCTTCTTTGAACCAAGAACTGCAAGATCTGGAAGCTCGTGCACGCCGTGGACACAAAAAGTCACCTGAAGAGGCAAATCAATTGATTCAGGTAAATATTGTCCAACGTTGAAGCTGGTTTTCGAGACTTATATTTCCACTCCATTTTCTCTTCATACATAATATCTTTTGGGAAAGATATTTCTGACTTATGGGGACGTCTTACAAAATCAGGGGTTAGATCGATACGTAGCTAACTATTCTGACAGCAATGTCATCGATGCACCGCATAAACCTCTTATCAAAAGAGAAAAAAACATATATATTCTTGCAATATCTGTGGTTGTAAGTTTCAGTCGTCTAACTTACCATCTATTTCCCCCTTACACTTGGGAACATGAAGATGCAAGCATGGCAAGAAGAAGTGGAGCGTGCCCGACAAGGTCAGAGAGACGCTGAATTGAAACTTTCTTCCATGGAGGCAAGTGTCTAAGGAATGTTGGCAATTTAGCTAATTGAACTAAGTGCAATGCCACTGATCCTTCCCTCTTTATCTTCTCAATTCCAGGCTGAAGTACAGAAAATGAGAGTTGAAATGGCTGCTATGAAAAGGGATGCTGAACATTATTCACGTCAGGTACGTAATTTATTTCTGTTTGATCAAGAAATCGAGTATATCTTCTGATCAAATATGCTCCATTGTTTAGAATATTACTGTGGTTAGCATAAGCAGATTAGCAGTTATTGTATGCTGTAATTGTTAACGCAGCAAACTCACCTTTTGATTTTTAAACTTTCAAACCTTCTATTTTAACCCTTTTAACTTTGGATTAAAAATCATTTTAGTCCTTGCTATTAATTTTCTAATAAATTATATAGTAGAAACCTCACATTGACATAACTTTTATTCATTTACCTAATCCATAAATGCATACATGACTCATTGTACCTTGGATTTAGATTCTTTATTAGGTTCGACGACTCTTTGTGGGGTTCGGTGGCAAAGCTTTTTTGTAATTACCTATTAGATTTTATTTTATGGTCTCATATATGTGTGTGTGTGTGTTTATATATATATATATATATTATTCCTTGGAAAAATTTACTTTTTGATATTTGAGGATTGACTTGGTTGCATCTGGATTTACTTTTTTTTTTTTTTTGTCTTTTTTGTTCACTTTCGACTTGCCAAATCATCAACTCACTGATTATAGTTTCAAATGACCAGGAGCACATGGAGCTTGAGAAGCGTTATCGTGAACTAACTGATCTATTGGTAACGAGTTTAATTGCTCATGCACATTATTTTGCTTATATATGAAAATTATTCAGTCTTATATATGAAAATTTATCTTTATGACAGTACTACAAGCAAACGCAGTTGGAGGCCATGGCTAGCGAAAAAGCGGCTGCTGAGTTTCAATTGGAGAAGGAAATAAACCGCGCCCAAGAGGCACAGGTCCGCCTTTCATTGCTCTATTCCTTTTGGTTAATATCTGCCTCCCTTCCCTATCCATTTTTAGTATAATTTATTAAACGAATTAACTTTATTTTTCATTGTTCATTTTGTTTATTAAACCAGAAACCTTATTTAGATTATAACTTGGTTGCCTTATTGAAAAGGTAGAGGTAGAAAGAACTCGAGCCTCCCGTCGAGCTTCTGCAACTTGGGAAGAAGATGCCGAAATCAAATCTCTTGAGTACGTTCCTTGCCTTAAATCTTTGTAACCCATTAAATACTTGAATCATTACCAAAAAAGAAAAAAAGTTAGGTTCTGCACATAAATTGTCATCAGGTTCTTGACGATATAAAATTATTTTTAGATACTTACCAAGTAATGGTTTCAGGCCCCTCCCGTTGCATCACCGATACATGGCCGGGACGAGCATACAGGTAAATCTCCTATCCGTTGCAATGCTTACTCTTCCTTCTCTTGGGCTTTATCGTTACCATTCAGCTTGCATCGTGCAGTTGCAAAAAGCAGCCAAATTATTAGATTCTGGAGCAGTCAGGGCAACAAGATTTCTCTGGCGGTATCCCACTGCAAGACTTTTACTTCTATTTTATTTGGTGAGATTTTCTTTTTCCCTTTGTCTAAAAAAATGTCAAGTTTATTAACGGAATCCGAGTGTAACCGTGAAAATGTATTTTCAGGTATTTGTACACCTTTTCATGATGTATCTACTGCACCGTTTACAGGTACGTTCGTTTAGCTTGTTGTCTGCATATATCTGCATCTTAGTGACTGGAACTAAGCATATGTTAGTAATTGGTTCGATAAGTTGTTACGGTAGTTTGTTATAGATCGAGGGAAAGGATGGAAGTGGACAAAATCTCGAGAGGGAGAAGGTCTAACTACCTCGAATTACTTGAGAAGTTGCATTTAACATAAAAACGTGTCGAGTTTTTTTGCAGGCTCAAGCGGATACATTTGCTGCTAGAGAAGTTGCAGAGTCCATGGGGCTAGCCAACTCTAATTTACCTTGAGATTCTTGAACTGCATCGCCAACTCCTACACGAGCAGGCAAATGACAATAGATTGAGAAGATACGATAGCTCAACTGAAAAGTCGAAACTCGGGTTTTGTTCTATTGTAACTGCATAATGAATTATTTACTTCATAGAAGGAAAAAAAATCTCTAGAGGCAATCAATTTAGAATGAATGAGTATCGCTGGATATAGATGAATGATGTCGTATCTCATGCTAGCCCTAAGCATTGATACTGTCACTGATTTTTTTTTTTTCTTTTTAATTGTTTACCTTAATGATAACTTAAATTTTTTTGTACGTTTTCAATGAAGATACGGTTTTTCTAGATACTAGTCGCAGCCATACCCGAGTATATATTGAATTTTGTCCATTTGACGTTGAATATTGTATAGAAAGATGTTCTTTTAAGGATATTTGGCTGATTTAAGGAGTTCAAAATTTATAGGTCAGGATTTGTATTAATTTTAGGTTAGAAAAAACTCAATTATTTTTATAAGAGTCATAGAAGCATTTACCTTTAAATGTATTTTGACCATCTGAATTTATGTAACGAAAAAGACTAGTTTGACATAAATACGTTGACACATCTTTAAAAACCATACAGGAATGTGGGACCCACTTTTTTTTTTTTTTTTTTTTTTTTTTTT